ACAAAGACACTTCAAAGAAAGAAAACTACAGACCAATATCTCTAATGAACCTAGATGCAAAAATCCTCAATAAAATTCTGGTGAATTGGATACAAAAACATATCAAAAAATTGTGCACCATGATCAAGTGGGATTCATCCCTGGGATGCAAGGCTGGTTCAATATTTGGAAGTCAATAAATGTTATTCACCACATCAAATAGACTTAAAGATAAGAACCATATGATCATTTTGATAGATGCAGAAAAAGCATTCAACAAAGTACAGCATTCTTTTATGTTCAAAACACTAGAAAAACTAGGGATAACAGGAACTTACCTCAACATTGTAAAAGCTATCTATGCTAAGCCTCAGGCTAGCATCATTGTAAATGGAGAAAAATTGAAGGCATTCCCTCTAAAATCTGGAATAAGACAGGGATGCCATCTCTCACTACTTCTATTCAATATAGTTCTCAAAATACTGGCCAGAGCAATTAGACAGACAAAAGAAATTAAAGGCATAAAGATAGGAAAAGAAGAACTTAAATTATCACTATTTGCGGTGACATGATCTTATGCCTAGCAGACCCAAAAGGGTCTACAAAGAAACTACTAGAGCTAATAAATGAATTCAGCAAAGTGTCAGGATATAAAATCAACACGCATAAATCCAAGGCATTCCTGTATATCAGCGACAAATCTTCTGAAATGGAAATGAGGAAAACCACCCCATTCACAATATCCTCAAAAAAAATAAAATACTTGGGAATTAACCTAACAAAAGAGGTAAAAGATTTATACAATGAAAACTACAGAACCCTAAAGAGAGAAATAGAAGAAGATCTTAGAAGATGGAAAAATATACCCTGTTCATGGATAGGCAGAACTAACATCATCAAAATGGCGACATTACCAAAAGTTCTCTATAGGTTTAATGCAATGCCAATCGAAATCCCAATGGCATTTCTTGTAGAAATAGATAAAGCAATCATGAAATTCATATGGAAAAATAAAAGACCCAGAATAGCAAAAGCAATTCTAAGCAGGAAGAGTGATTCAGGCGGTATAGCGATACCAGATTCAAACTATACTACAGAGCAATAGTAACAAAAACAGCATGGTACTGGTACCAAAACAGGCAGGTGGACCAATGGTACAGAATAGAGGACACAGAGACCAATCCACAAAATTACAATTATCTTATATTTGACAAAGGGGCTAAAAGCATGCAATGGAGAAAGGAGAGCATCTTCAACAAATGGTGCTGGGAAAACGGGAAATCCATATGCAACAAAATGAATCTGAATCCCTTTCTCTCACCATGCACAAAAGTTAACTCAAAATGGATCAAGGAGCTTGATATCAAAACAGGGACTCTGCGTCTGATAGAAGAAAAAGTTGGTTCCAATCTACATATTGTGGGGTTGGGCTCCAAATTCCTTAATAGGACACCCATAGCACAAGAGTTAAAAACAAGAATCAACAAATGGGACTTACTCAAACTAAAGAATTTTTTCTCAGCAAGAGAAACAATGAGAGTTAAATAGGGAGCCTACATCCTGGGAACAATTTTTACTCCTCACACTTCATATAGAGCCCTAATATCCAGAGTATACAAAGAACTAAAAAAATTAAAAAATAAGAAAACAAATAATCCAATCAACAAATGGGCCAAGGACCTGAACAGACACTTCTCAGAGGAGGACATACAATCAATCAACAAGTACATGAAAAAATGCTCACCATCTCTAGCAGTCAGAGAAATGCAAATCAAAACCACCCTAAGATACCATCTCACTCCAGTAAGATTGGCAGCCATTATGAAGTCAAACAACAACAAGTGCTGGCGAGGATGTGGGGAAAAGTGTACACTTGTATATTGCTGGTGGGACTGCAAATTGGTGCGGCCCATTTGGAAAGCAGTATGGAGATTCCTTGGAAAGCTGGGAATGGAACCACCATTTGACCCAGCTATTCCCCTTCTCGGACTATTCCCTGAAGACCTTAAAAGAGCATACTATAGGGATACTGCTACATCGATGTTCATAGCAGCACAATTCACAATAGCTAGACTATGGAACCAACCTAGATGCCCTTCAATAGATGAATGGATAAAAAAAATGTGGCATTTATACACAATAGAGTATTACTCAGCACTAAAAAATGACAAAATTATGGCATTTGCAGGGTAATGGATGGCATTAGAGCAGATTATGCTAAGTGAAGCTAGCCAATCCCTAAAAAACAAATGCCAAATGTCTTCTTTGATATAAGGAGAGCAACTAAGAACAGAGCAGGGAGGAAGAGCATGAGAAAAATATTAACATTAAACAGGGAAGAGAGGTGGGAGGGAAAGGGAGAGAGAAGAGAAATTGCATGGAAATGGAAGGAAACCCTCATTGTTATACAAAATTACATATAAGAGGAAGTGAGGGGAAAGGAAAAAAAACAAGGGAGAGAAATGAATTACAGTAGATGGGGTACAGAGAGAAGATGGGAGGGGAGGGGAGGGGAGGGGGGATAGTAGAGGATAGGAGAGGCAGCAGAATACAATAGACAATAGTATGGCACTATGTAAAAACGTGGATGTGTAACTGATGTGATTCTGCAATCTGTATACGGGGTAAAAATGAGAGTTCATAACCCACTTGAATCAAATGTATGAAATATGATATGTCAAGAGCTTTGTAATGTTTTGAACAACCAATAATAAAAAAAAATAAAATAAAATATATTTCAGTTGTAAATGAATCTTTTAATTTAATCAGTTAATTTATTTATATGAGGTGCTGAGGATCAAACCTGGGGCCTCACACAAGCCAGCCGAGTGCTCCACCACTGAGCCACAACTCCAGCCCCTCCCCATCCATATTTTGTATTTTAATTAGAGACAGGGTCTCACTGAGTTGCTTAGAACCTTGCAAAATTGCTGAGACTGGCTTTGAACTTGTGAACCTCCTGCTTCCACCTCTGGAGCTGCTGGGAATAGAGGCAAAATTCTGTTTTTTGTTGAGGTGATGAGGTTGATGGTGGCCTGTTTCACCTTGAGGCAGGGCCTGCCTGTTTGAGCAGGAATGATTCCAGACGAAAGAGCCATTCAGTGAGAGAGTGAGGTGTTATGACATCATTTGTATCTGCACATCCAGTCATGCCTGAAGCCTGATCACTTCTTAGAACCTTTTTCTTTCCTTCCTCCTTCCTTCCTTCCTTCCTTCCTTCCTTCCTTCCTTCCTTCCTTCCTTCCTTCCTTCCTTTCTTTCTTTCTTTCTTTCTTTCTCCAGGGATTGAATCCAGGGGAGCTAATCCACAGCCATGTCCCTAGGCCTTTTTGTGATTTTATTTAGAAACATGGTCTCTCTGAGTTGCTTAGGTCTAAGTTACTGATGTTGTCTCTGAACTCGTGGTCTTCCTTCCTCAGTATCCTGAGCCACTGGGATTACAGGTGTGGGCAACACGCCTGGTGCTCCTTGGTACCTTTTCTTTTTCTTTTCCCCTTTAAATGTTTTATTTGTTCATTTTTGTTACACATGACAGTAGAATATATTTAGACATATCATATGTATGTGGAGTTTGACCTCCTATTTTAGTGGTTGTCCATGACGTGGGGTTACACTGGTCATGTATTCATATATGAACCTTGGAACCTTTTGATAGTGTGAATTGGTTTGAGTTGTGTTTCTGGCAGCAAGAAAGTAAAGAGTAGATTTTGATACAGAGAGTAATGCTTTAAACCCTGGCTTCATGAGTGCCTGTGGCAGAGATATGGGGATTCACAGTTTAGGACCAAGACCCAGCTTAGTCTCAGGCACAAATAGGAGTGTGCAGCCCCCTGCAGAATTAGCCCCCATACTTGTAGGTTGCGGTAGTGCCCATGGAAGAGACGAGGGTAGCAGTAAGTTCCTTGGGACTTCACAGGGCATGCAACGAAAAGTGGTATCGCATGGAAAGTGGGAGCCACGTGGGGACCTCTGATATGGCTTTTCCCCAAGTCCCACTCAAAACACTAGAGAGACGTGGATAATGGAGCAAATTACCACTAACACTGAGTGCCAGGATCTGAGAGGAGTCCTTGCTGTTTATAAGTAGGAGAAGCTGGATGGAAAAAAAGCTATGAAGAATTGACCTCTAGAGAGAGGACACCTGAAAAAAGAAAATGCTTTGAACTTTCCCCAACAGGTTTCCTCTGACGCATAGGCAATAACTGTGGTAAATGATATTTGGTTTTGCTTCTGGTGGCTTGTTGAATGTTTTAAAAATATTTCCCTGCTCCTTCCAATATCTTCTGTTCTTTTTCTTTAAAGTTTTTACATTTTCCTGTGTTTTAGAAGGCCTATTTAAAATCTGAATAGCAGTTATTTTTATTTATTATTATTATCATTGTGTGTGTGTTTGTGTGTGTTTGTGTGTGTGTTTGTGTTTGTGTGTGTGTGTGTGTTTGTTTGAGTTCCTAAACATTTAACCCAGGGCTACATAAGTGCTCTATTAGTGAACTATATCCCCAGCCCTAGTGGTTATTGTAAATATTGCACACAGTGTCCCTCAACTTGTGTCTCCCTGAGAAACCTCAGACTCTCATTCCACAGCCTCCTTTGAGGGATTCTATACAGATGTTTCACCATGCCTAGAGCCATATGACCCTGTGATCTGCAGTAAAAATGGAACTATTAATTGCAAGTCCTCCAACCTCCACATATCCATGTCCTTTGCTAAGCAATTGAGTTATTCTCCTGCCCACTGTCCACTCAGGAAGAGGTAGAATACACCTCCCACCATATGCCCAGAAAGTAAAGTGGGCACACTCAACAAGATGCTGGTTCTGAGCCTAGGCCTCAAGAGGTGTTGTGTGTTGCCACTTGCCACTATCATGGCCATCAGAAGAACATGCCTGAGTTAACCCACTGATAAAAAGAAGGTGTAAAATACAAGGATAATGTCCCTGTTGGATCTCAGCATAGATCAGCCCACCTTCAACCAATCTATGCACAGTTATGTGAAATAAATGCTTATGTTGGTATGCTACTAAGACCATATGGGAGTTTTCCTTACACAGCAATAGCTGCCCAGTACAAACCCTATCATGCAGGCCACAGCTGACGGGAGTGACAAACTAGTAGCTGATCCACAGGCAGGCAAGCATGTAGCCAGAGACTTAGAAGATTTCTGAAGGTGAGAGCCCTGCTGAACAGAGGTACCCTGTCTGCATGATCACTCAGAAACTATGTGGATCTTCATTCATGGGAACTATGTGTGTGAGACAACCTGAAAGAGACATTAGAGAAGAGGGAGTGTTAACAGCAGTCCCTTAACCTTCTGAATGTAGCTCTCATTGCTCTAAGACTTATGAATGAACTTTTTCTTGAACTGGGCATGGGGTCAGTTTACTTTGTAAAAGTTCATTGAGCTGGTGCTAGGGATGTAGCTGAGTAGTAATAGGGCATGTATTTATCATTCCCAATGCCGTGAGTTCAATCCCCAGTAAGCATGCATGTACACACACACACACACACACACACACACAAAACCAAAATCCAAAATTCCAAAGTCTCCAACTGCCTGCCCCTGGAACTCTTTATGATAGCTTTATTTTTTAATTTTTTTTTTGTGGTGCTAGGGATAGAACAACCCAGGGCACTCTGCCATAGAGCTACATGTATAGCTTGCTCATGGTCTCTCTAGTTCTTTATTTTTTGCAGTTTGACCTCAATCAAACTTATGATTTTATTCTCTCTCTCTCTCTCTTTTATTTATTTATTTATTTATTTTGTGGTACTTACAATTGAACCTGGGGCACTCTCCATCAAGGCTTATCTAAGCCCTTTGAATTTTTTACTGTCCAGGTTGGTCTCATACCTGTGATTCCACCTGGCATAATCTTCCTTCTGAGTAAGTGAAATTGCAGGCATGTCTACCATGTCTGGCTTGCAGTCTCTCTCTCTCTCTCTCTCTCTGTTTGTGTCTCTCTCTTCTCTTCTCTCTTCTCTCTTCTCTCTCTCTCTTTCTCTCTCTCTCATTTGCAGTAGTGCTGGGGCTGGGGACGAAACCCATTATTTCACGTGATATATCTACCCATGAGCTATACCTCCAGTCTTATTAATTTTAATTTTGATGGCATACACTGCTCTCTGAAATCATCTTACAAATTTATTTATTTCCTTCATTCAGTGAATATTAACCAGGTTCCTGTTAGTTGAAGGCACTGGTCTAGGCACCAGGCACACATCAACCAACAAAACAGGCAGTCCTTGCTCTCATGGGGCTTTGGGTTTTGCTTCTTTCATACCATTTGCCCCCACTAAAGAAGTCAGGCTTCCAGGGGAGTGGGGACCTTGTCTGTGTCTCTGTGGTATCATGTGGCACTTTGGAGGGGAGGAAGACAGCTGTGGATGAGAATGTTGGGAACACATCCTTGGAGGTGGCTCCTGAAGAAGACTAGGTAGACTTTGTGGAGAAGTGAGAGGTGGTTTATGCTGGAAAAGGGACATGATATGACAATGGGTGAGTGTTTAGGCCTGGAGGAGTGTGACATCTCAGAGAAAGCTGAAGTCAGAGAGATAGAGTAGCGTCCAACAGCCATGAATCCATGCAAGAGATGGGGAGTAGAAGGGACCTCAGAAGTAAGAGGGAGTTGTTAGGTAAAGGAGGGGTATCCCACTTAGCTAATAGAGGTGTGGCCAGGAAAAGGCATGAAGGTGAGACCCCTTCTAGAGAATTTTATCAGTCAGCTGTCCTGAAAAGAGGGGAACTATACAGGGTAGATCCCTCATCTTTACCCCACAAAGAAATCACATTAGGTTGACCATTCAAAACTTCCCCTAAATGGGGAAAAATCAGAGGAGGTCTAGGAAATCTGTGTCCCCTCTTCCTTCACTTTTCCCAGCAGATCCTCATCTCCAAGAAGACTTGAGGGCAACTTCTCTGCCCTAATGTCCTGCTTCTGAGTTTATCCTTAGCACCCAGCACAGAGTGGGCATCCAGAATGTGGGCTGAGAGTGAGTGGATGAGGAGGAGGGGAAGGGCAACTCTGAGCTAATAGGTAGAGAGACTGATGGGTGACATTACGGCCTGGCTTCAGACCTTTTTGTTGTACCCCTCATACCTATCATTACCCTGTCCTGAAAACCTCCCGCACAACCAGCTGGTCCTTCTGCTTAAACACTTGTAGTGAGGGGTCTCTAATATTTGCTTATCTGGGAAGGCAGGAAGGGTCAGGTAGGATACGCTTTGACCTAGAAGGGAAGCTCTTTAGAGACTTTGCGCTTCCTTACTTTCCCCTTCCTATCAGATACTCAGGTCAGATTCTTGGGGGCTCCAGGGCTGTCTACAGTGTGCTGATTGTGTGCAGGGAGGATCAGGCACATTACTAGTTCCCACCAAATACATGCCATCCCCTCTGGAGTGCTATCTTTTTTTCTTGTCCCTCTCTTTCCATTCAGAACTCCTTACAGTAGTGCCCAGACCCCTGGCCAAGAGCCTATGCTCTAGTCTTGTTACCATCAATCCTCATGCAATGAAGCCAGGCATGAGCAACACATGAATGCTGAGTGAGTCCCTGTTTCAAGTCTTCCCATCAGGCACCAGTAGGAGGGCATTGGCCTCAATGAAGACTAGGCAAAGAGGTATAAGGAAGAGCCCCCCACAGTGGGCACACTTCCTCAGGCATATGGTGGGCAATAAGTGAAGGTGAGCCAGAGGTTCCTGGGTCCAAAGGAAAATAGGCTGGAGCATGAGTAAAGGTCAGAGAAAAGATGTGGTAGGAAAATGGCAGGATCAGAATGTTAAGGGAGAAAGGCCCTTATCACCAGCTACAGCTGGTGAGGGAAACATGAGGAAATGATGATGGAGCAGTTGGGGGAGCTAGTCACACACTGGGAGTTACCTAACATCAGTGTCTTCTTTTTCTGCACACAACTGTCTGGCCTCCTTCTTTGAGTCCTTACCTGATTGAAGATTTAACCAAGCCATTTCATGTTTTTATGTCTCAATTACCTCATCTCTATATAAAGTTAGAGTGATACCACTTGCTTTCTGAGCTAGTGGTAAGGCTTCCTTAGGTCAATGGGAGTATCTTGTAAACTAGGCAGCCCAAGGAGATGTACAGTGGCCTCATTATGTCTGACTGTCACAAAGAGAGAGTTCCTCCCAGAAATAAATGAAAAAGATGAGAGCAGGCTTCAGGTGTCTCTTTATGTCATATTCTTCATTGTTGTTTATTTTTCCCTTCTCCTTTTGAGACTACTACCTGTTTTCCAGGGTGGACTGGAGACTGAGACCTTCTGTGTTAGTGTTACTGGAAACAGACTGATTGAGAAGCAGCAAGCAGCACTCAGAGAGGAGAACTCCAAACTTATTTTATGGCAGCGGGCCCAGAGGAAAACAAAACTCCTAATTCTGATCCATGATCCACAGTTTCTCACAACATTTATAGGTTATTTGGCATCAACTAAACCCATCCTATAATTGGGGCTTTTTTTATTATTAAAAATCCCCAATCTATGGGGATGAAGTTCTTGTGCAGGGTCTCTAACATAAAGCATGGTTACAGAAACAGATTAGAAGGAATGGCTGTTTTCGCAGGCATCTGTTATATTTCAAGAGGGAGTAGTTAGTCTCCCATGGAAGTTATTTACAATCCAAAAATTAGGGGTCCATGGTCAATTAGGCTTCCTGAAGAAAGACTGAGAGAGGGAGGGGAAATGACCCTCATCCCAGGCATTGTTTTCTATTCTTTTCTTTTCAGGTGTATATGGGATTAAACTCAGGGGCACTCAATCACTGAGCCACATCTCAAGTCCTTTTTTTTTTTTGCATTTTACTTAAAGACAGGGTCTCACTGAGTTGCCTGGTGTCTCCCTGTTGCTGGGGCTGGCTTTGAACTTGTGATCCTCCTCCTCTGCATCCCAAGCCACTGGTTTTACAGGCATTCTCTACTGCATCCTGTACCCTTGGAACCATTTTTAGAAATAAATTATTTTTACATGGAGAAGTGAAGTAAATGTTTATATTTGTATACCAGTAAGACTATGTGGGAATTTTCCTTACACAGTAATATCTACCTAGCACAGACCTATCATGTAGGCCATATCTGACTGAGTGACAAACAAGTAGCTGATCCACGGCCAGGCAAGCACGTAGCCAGAGAACTATGAGATTGCTGGAGGTGACAGCCCTTCTGAATAGAGGTACCCTGTCTGCATGATCACTCAGCAACTACCTGGGTCTCCATTCATGGGAAATTTGTCTGTGAGACATCCTGAGAGAGGCATTAGAGAAGAGGGAGTCCCCAAACTGAGAAATATATGAAGAAGGCAATGAGAATAAACCCATGAGGCACAAGAAACCATAAATGATCAGAAGGTACAGCAAGAGTATTGCATAGAGAGGTGCCATTCAGGAAGAGTGCAGGAGGAAGGAGCATGCAGACTGGGAGTCAGAGACGGAGAATTTGAGTCTTGGGGTGGGTGGTGGAGATGAAAATGATGAGAGGTAGAGCAGGGTAACCAGAAGTCATGTTGAACTATAAGAGCAACTGTCCTGTCCTGAATAATGGGCCTTCTCAATGTAGACCTGAAGATGGGATTCAGCCCTTGGTCCTGATGGACTAAGAGCAGGCCATGAGCAGGCCACATATTTGCCTTAAATTGATCACTAGTGAATTTGAGAGACAGCAGTGTTTCTTCCTTTTCTTCCTCCTCATTCTCCTTCTTTTCTTCCTCATCTTTCCCCTCATCCCTCTCCTCCTCCTCCTCCTCCTCCTCCTCCTCCTCCTCCTCCTCCTCCTCCTCCTCCTGTGTTTCTTCTTTTGGAGGTGAGGATTGAATGTAGGACTCCCTAACTACTGAGCCATATCCTTAGACCTTTCTATTTTTTATTTTGTTATGGGTTTCACTAAGTTGCTTAAGGTCCTGCTAAGTTGTTGAGACTTGTTTCAAACTTGCATCCTCCTGCCTCAGCCTCACTTCCAAGTTGCTGGAACTATAGGCATACCCCAGTAAGATGGTACTTCATTTGAGGACAGGATCCTCCAAACCAGGTCTCATGCATATTAGGCAAGCCCTCTACCACTGAGCCATATCCACAGCCCAAGCTGGTACTTCTTTTGAGGACAAGAGAAAAAAAATTAATTGTATTTGGGGTGGGGTGGTCCATACATACTCATTAAATTATTTTTATGCAACTCTGTATGGATAAAATAATATTAATAATGTTTGAAAACATTATAGGAGATCTGAATTTTTTTCTTCAAACAAGAGAAGAGCACATCATCTCAAAGACTGAAAGAAAGAGACAGATCTTTGAAGAGATATTTCCTGTGGGATTTGGAAGAATTTTTCAGGAAGCTTTTCAATGACCTCACTAGCTCTGCAAAGTTAGAGCTACAAAGAATGGCAGAGATAAAAATGTGCTAAAAGGGCTGGGGCTGTAGGTCAGTGGTAGAGCACTTGCCTAGCGTGTGTGAGAGGCATGGGGTTCAATCCTCAGCACCATATAAAAATAAATAAATAAAATAAAGATATTGTGTTTATCTACAACTTAAAAAAAAGAAGAAGAAAATGTGCTATTAAACTAGGTGTGGTGATGCACACTGTATTCCAGTTACTTGGGAGGCTGTGGTAGGAGGATTACCAGTTGGATGCCAGTCTTGGCAATTTAGCAAGTCTTTGCCTCAAAATGAAACAAAACTGGATGGGGGTGTCTCTAGTTCAATGATGCTGTAGAGCACTTACAGAGCATGTGTGAGGCACTGGCTTCAATAATTTCCAGTTCTGAATATAAATCAATAATAAAATGAATAAGTTAAAATGTGATAACTACCTTACTTCTTTAAAATTGCCTTTTCCACCCCTGGAATGTTCAATTTTGAGAGCACATCTATCTTGTTAACCACTGTATTTCCTGTGCAAGTTAGTAGTTCAGTACCTGTGGAAAAAAAATAACAAATAGGGTGTGAGGGCTCCAAACAGGGTTAGGAGACCACCAAGCTCAGGAGGCCCTTGTTGGGTGCATGGGAGACCTTGCCTTTTGGTTTTATTTCCCCATAGGGTTTCTCCTCATTAAGGTTAAGTTTCCATCTTGCAAGAAGAACATCACATAATCCTTTACGCCTCCCCCTCCTCTCTGAAGGTCGCTAAGCCAAAGGGTGCCAAAGTTTTCTTGACAATTCCTGTGGGACACAGTGTCCACTCGCCGGTTCCTGAGTCCCCCTGCCAATCAGCACCCGCCAAGTCACCTACGCAACGCTTTTTAAGCTGAAGCTTGCAAGTGCACACTGCTGCTCTCTTCCTCTCCTTTTCTTCCCCTTCAAGCAGCCTCCCAATAAAATCTCTTGGTTAAATTTCCATCTCGGGTGAGTCACTCACCTTTCAGCCTTCACACATTTCTACTGTTTAGGGCATACTCTGAACAGGGAGGGTTGGGGGTGGACTCCAAGCAGTTTATTCCAGGGAGGCAGGCAGTGGGCAGGCCAGGCTGGGGGTCCAGGAGCAAGCAGGAATGACCTGGCCATCAGTGGAGGGAGGCTCAGTGAGCTGAGCCCTGTGGAAATGAGAAAGGAAGTGAGGACTTTGCCAGAAGCAAGCAGGTCCCTCAACAAGTCCACCTTCTGCTGTCCCACCTCCTCTTTCCTCCAGTTGTCACAAATGACTCTAATAATGTAATCCAAAGCTTGGTCCTTGTCCCCTATGCCAATTCATGCCAGTTTAATAATGAGGACACCGTTTTGAGAAAAAGGAAAAAGTAATTGTATTGCTTTACCAGCAAAGGAGAAACACGGGGGACTCTTGTCTCAGAGCCTGTGATTCTGCCCATTAGGCAAAACAGAGGGCTTTTAAAGAAGCTCTTCAAGGTCTACATTCCAGGTGTGCCCTGACAGGGGATCCCAGGGCACCCTGATGGTGTGTTAGGAATCACTTGTTAATTTGGGAGATATTTTCTTCCTAGATCCTCTGGCAGACACCTCTTTCCTGTGGAGCACAGATAACTGCCGCAGTCTGGCTGGGCACAATTCAGGAGCCACTTGTCAAAAGAAACTAACTTTATTTTTAGAACATACATACCACACCACACAGCTCTTCAGGAAAACCCTCAGAGCCCAACTGCCACCACCGGCTTCCCACAAGCCTCCCCACCTCCCCCACCCCTCCTGCTCTTGAGGCTGATTGGCTGGGTCTCATGGGGGGAGCAAAAAAAAAAGTTCCCCAATGAGCAGCTCTGTGGTCTGAAAGGGCAGGGAAACAGCCCAATGAGCATCACGGCAGAGGAGCCAATCAGTTGGAAGCTAGAAGTTGCTGGGGCCGCTGTGAGCCAAACATCAGCTGGCAGCTGGAAGTTTGCTGGCAGCTGGAAGTTTGCTGGGGCCCCTGTGAGCTAATCATCAGCTGGCAGCTGGAAATTTGCTGGCAGCTGGAAGTTTGCTGGGGCCCCTTTGGCTGTGGCTCTCAACAGATAACTTTCACCCCAGGTTAGGAGGGGATAGAGGGAAAGAGGAGAAAAATATGTCCCTTTTAAAAATAATTCTAGAGCAACCAGGGATATAGTCAAAAGGTGAAGTGGACATTGAAGTATATGGTTACCTATCTGTGCTCCTGCCCCACCCTATCCTCCCAACACCTGGCCCTAAAAGGGCCCACCAAAAGTAACTCCTCCCATGATCTGGCTTGGCTAAACCCTATAAAACCCAGACCTTCATGATGACCTGCCTCTGCCATTTTTCTTTCAAAGATGTGTCTCTCCAGTGTTGAATAAAGCATCACTGGTCCACGAGGTCTCCCTCCATTTTTCTGTTTCTTTTTGTATTCTCCCTGAATGGGAGCAGGATGTTTTGGGGGTTATTTTTACCCCTCCCCATTCCAATGAAACTCCATTTTTTTCTCTTTCTTCATGAGACCTCCAGGTCAGAGGACACTTTCTGTCGTTTTGGTCCTGCATGCAACAAGGATCATCTCTTCCTCAGACAAGTAAGACCTCTTCCAGTCTCTTTACTGAAATACCCTGCCAAGACCCTTGCTTTTGGCTCACCCAGGGTCCCCCACCAATACTGCCATTGACAAAAATCATTCAAAAAGAGTTTCATTTCCCTAGATGTAAAGATTGAAGTGAGGTCTGCGTGAGGGCCCAGTCAGAGGTCATGGAAGCAAAGACAAAAACACAGGGGTGGGAGGTGTAGCTTAGTGGCAGAGCACTTGCCTGGCATGTGTGAGGCACTGGGTTCAATCCTTGGCACTGCATAGAAATCAATCAATAAATAAAGGCATGCTGCCCTTCTACAACTACAAAAGAGAGATAGAGATAGATAGATAGATAGATAGATAGATAGAGAGAGAGAGAGAGAGATTTGTCAGCAAAGGCACCAATATTTCTGTTCAGCAAGAAGCCTCATCCTCAAAAATGATAGTAGGGGATGATCTAATCACAGTTGAGATAAAGGAGATGCGAATAATTTTTTGCTTCAAACTTGGCCTGATTACCAACTGGGGAATAAAAAATGTTTAAATGCACTAGGCATGAGGTGCAACTCAAACAGCAGATTCCCTGGGTTTCTGCCAGATCTCCCCAAGGCTTACATTGAAATGTAAATGGTGGAGACCTGTCCAGTTTACAGAACTTGGGACCAGAGGGGGGAAAATGCGCCACTTTAAATCCAAGCCACTTGTCTTTTTTACCTGAGAATCTTTACCCAGATATTTCAGAGCTCTCTCTATTCTTTCAATATCTGAACTGACTAATCTGAGCCCAAAAGTAAATTGCATCCTGCTTTACTAGAGTAAATAATGGCTGCTTCATTTTCCCCCCAGGACTTGTTTTTTTTTTTTTCCCCAAATTAAAGTAATGGTAATTTTAGACTTAAATATTAAAAAAAAAAAAACAAATTTTACTGGGGATTTATTTATGTAATTTAATGTTCCGTGTCTGG